ACTGGGTATGCACAGCATCTAGTGTCGCTGCTTCACGAACAATCGCTTTCTGGGGCAAGTGATATGGATATCCTGGAGTCTCGGGCTTATTTGGCGATGATTTCTGGCACCCTGTGGCTTGAGAAGCGGAGATGGGAACAGTGTCTCCAGGACTATTCCATTGCAAGAGTGATTTACACAGCTTTAGGTCAAAGGGTCAAGAAAGACGCTTTCCGGGACCTGGTCTCTGGGACTGTTGACCCTAGTCTCCGATACGCGGCTTATCAGATGAAGCTTCCCCGGTCCAAACCCACATCATCACTGGCGATTGAATTCTTCCCGTCGGATTCGGAGATTTGCGCTGAGGTTGAGAAGATCGACCCCTCTTGTCTCGCTGAAGAAGCAGCCGGTACTCGACGCACTGCGGAGGGAGAAGTGCAGGAGTTGCCCCAATCTGTCACTTGGAGGTCGCGGACTGTCCCACTGGACGACGCCTCGATTTCTCAATCGTTGGCTGCTGCTTCAGCCGCGGAGGCTCGGCTCACTACTTGGTTGGCAGATGCTGGAAAGTCCGCCGCTGCTAAGGAGAAAGCTGCTGCGTATGATAACGTGATTATTGCCAGTCAGGATGCTGTCGATGCAACGAAATCCGCCATTGATGACTTGGCTAGTGAGGGTGTTGATCCCAGTGATAAGAGAATGCAGGCCCTGCAAATCACTCGAACCGCAGTGAATTACACTTTGGTTGGCTGGCGGGTCGGTCGTAACCGGGTGTTGTGTGGAGAAAGGGACGGCTTGTCATTTGAGGAACAGCAACCCACAACAAGTGGAAAGGAAACTGCGAAGCACACCACAGGCAATGGCAAGAAGTTGAATAGACTCCGTGAGCGGGTCGTCCTGTATGATTCAACACTCCAGAGCTTGGAATTTATTCTCGAGCTTCCGGGTGTTGCGGCCGACTCGGCCTTTGTGCAGGGTCTAGAGGCAAAGCGGCACTACTTCCGTGCCCTCAGGTATGGTTCTCACCATGATCCTCACCGATTTTCGCAACTAATCTCTAATTTTTTTTCATTGTAGATGTCTTGCTTTAGGAAGATCCCATGGAGTGCTTTCGAGATCAAAGGAGGCTCTTGCGCTGTTTTCCCAAGCCTTGAACCTTGCCGCTTCCGTTTCCCCCCAGTCAGCAACGGATGCTGAAGATGTCCCAAAGCTCGACGTATCCCAAGTGCAAGCGAGTACCTTGGAGTCAACCTTGCGAGAACTGGTTGCTCAATATCGTGGACTTGTCACTCTGGAGAAGGTGACTGCGGAAGAGGCGTCACAGTCGAGCCAACGGCCAGTGGTGGAACGACTGCAACAATTTGCAGGATCTGGACTAGACCTCAATAATTTGGTACCGTATCCACCTCAAATGCAGCCGATTCCTGTCAAGCCCTTGTTCCTTGATGTGGCATGGAACTACATTGATTACCCACGTGAAGGTGGTCAGCGACAGGAGGCTCTGACTCAGACACAAGCTCAAGCCCAAGGTCCCGTGGAAGAAGAAACGAAAGGTCGTCGTGGATGGTTTGGTTTCGGTGGTCGCTGAAGCCCCTTACATAGATGCCATGTTATGAATACCCATTGATTCCTATCGTGAATATGTACAACATAAGTAGTACGACATGTACGTTGTAGTAGCAAGCACAAGCACGTGCATATAGGAGCCCTTACATGATGTTCAGCCAATCAACGTTCAACCAATCAGCGCCGATCTAACTCTCGGGAATTCTCTAGCCGGGGTCACGTCGTGCTGAGTAATTGTGATATGGCGTTGCGCTGACTTGTCTGTATTTTAAGATACAAACGGAGTACGTACATATATAGTTGTCCTATTGTATGTGTAGCTGTAGGTACTCCATACTATGTACATATCTCATTCTAGGCTATTCGTGACTTCGTTATCTTTGCGCATCTTCGATACTATTAAGTCCGGCTCGGAGATTAGTACTAAGAACCCCCGAACTATGGGCCTAAGCAGAGATTGTCCAAATAATAACTTGGGCGTAAGAATATCTCTGTACAAATAATCAATAAAATCATAAGAATCCAATCTTACAGAAGCTATTGTATGTTAATTTCGTAAACCATTCGAAACACAAACTATTTATGCATTGATATGGGCTAATGCTGAGCATCCCGGGGGCCTCCGTGTAATTGGCGTTCCCGCCCCTGAGAGCCCCAGTCAGTTCTCTCCCCCCTCTCTCTCCACTCACTTTTTTCCCTTTTTGTTCTGGGATTCGGTCCTCCTTTCTCATTAGCAATTACTTTTCTCTTCAATTCCTGCCCGGAACTTTGACTCCGTTGACTCCCCAGTATGGTCAACATGGCCAACTTCACCGGGAGCTTTGCCTCGCCATCGGCGGATGCGACGGTCTCGCCCCAACTTTTCGCGCCGGCCGGTCTCATTGCCACCGTATTGGATGGCTTCACGATTTGGAAGGGCCTGTTGACTTTCTTGGTCGCCGCCGTCATCTATGATCAGTGTGAGTGCAAATGCGACATGTGTGGCCTTTGAAATCGCGTCTTGAAACTAATTCAGACCCCCTATTTGCAGTCAAATACCACTACCTCAAGGGTGCGATTGTTGGCCCTATGTACAAGATTCCCTTTATGGGCCCATTCCTCCAATCAGTCAACCCCAAATTCACCGAATACAAGGCGAAATGGGATAGCGGAGACCTCAGCTGTGTGTCGGTCTTCCACAAGTGAGAAGTCCCTGATGTACTTGTTTCTTTCGGGTCTGTTCTCTAACACTTTCTACTAAGGTTCGTCGTGATTGCATCCACTCGTGATATGTCCCGGAAGATTTTCAACTCGCCCGGCTATGTCAAGCCCTGTGTCGTGGATGCCGCGCACAAGCTTCTCGGCAAGACCAATTGGGTCTTCTTAGATGGCAAAGCCCATGTAGATTACCGCAAGGGTCTGAACGGGTTGTTCACTCGCCAGGCTCTGGCGATGTACCTCCCCCGCTCCGAGGAGGTCTTCAACTCCTACAACGAGAAATTCCTCCAGAAGTCCGCCGCCACCAACTTCACCCCGACCCCTTGGATGTCCGAGTTCCGCGAGCTCATGTGCGCTCTGTCGTGCCGTACCTTTGTCGGTTACTATATCACTGATGAGGGCGTCCAGAAAATTGCCGATGACTACTATCTGATTACTGCCGCGCTTGAGCTGGTGAACTTCCCTATCATCCTTCCCTACACTAAGACCTGGTACGGCAAGAAGGCCGCTGATATGGTACTTGAGGAGTTCACCAAGTGTGCTGCCAAGTCCAAGGCCCGTATGGCTGCTGGTGGTGAGATTTCCTGCATCATGGACGCCTGGGTTAAGGCCCAGCTGGATTCCGCCGCATACCGCGAGAAGATTGAGAAGGGAATTCAGGTCGATTCTTCAGAGAAGCCTAGCCAGGTTCTTCGTGAATTCTCCGATTTCGAAATTGCCCAGACTATCTTCACCTTCCTGTTCGCTTCCCAGGATGCAACCAGTGCCGCCTCCACCTGGTTGTTCCAGCTGATGGCTGACCGCCCCGAGATCCTGGACAAGGTCCGTGAAGAGAACCTTAACGTCCGCAACGGTGATCGCACTCTCCCCGCCACCATGGATATGCTAGACCAAATGCCTTACACCCGCGCCGTCGTTAAGGAGACACTGCGCTACCGCCCCCCTGTCATCATGGTTCCCTACCTGGTCAAGAAGGACTTCCCTATCAGCGAGACTGTCACCGTCTCCAAGGGCTCGATGATCATTCCCTCCGTGTGGCCCGCATGCCATGACGAGGAGGCTTACCCCAACGCCGACTCGTTTGATCCAGACCGCTGGATCACCGGTACCGCTGAGCAGCAGACCAAGAACTGGTTGGTCTTTGGTACAGGTCCCCACTACTGTCTGGGTCAGACCTATGCTCAGCTTTCCCTGATGTCCATGATTGGAAAGGCCAGCATGGTGATGGACTGGGAGCACACCCCTACTCCCGAGTCCGAGGATATCAAGGTGTTTGCCACCATTTTCCCTCAGGTATGTTCAAGCTTATTTTCTACCCTGATCAATTCACTAATATATATCAGGATGACTGTCTTCTTACGTTCCGCGCCCGCCCTTGAATTTTCTCTTCTTTGTACAAAACACAAAAGCAAAGCTGGAACCCAGCCACACTTTCTGGACAGAGGACTTATGATGCCTTCCTGTCCTGGGGCTGGGATGGTCCGCTGACACTTTCTTCTCTCTCATTCGACTTCGATGCATGCTCGATATAGGACAAGTCTTTAACATATGTTTCTCTTAGAGAGACCTTCCATACCCTTTTCCAAAGGAGCCCCCGCTGCGATTATGATTACCTATTGCCCGTGAGGGGTCGCAGGGGTTTCTTGTTTCATTTCTTCAGAGTGACTACTCCTAGAGCCATGCATATTAGAACAATATTAATTATCTTTTTCTGCTTGAATATTATGACATGTTATCTAACTGTTCGTGTGCTTGAATCAACTAATTATATACTTAATCTCTTTAGTCTTTCTTCTTGGTTTACAGGTTGGCTTTGGGAGGTTTTTATCACAATCTTAAACCTGATATCTGTTAAAGGTCAATATAGCCTTTTTGAGTTTAGAGAAAGGACTAGACTCGTTTTTCTATGTATGGTTTTAGTGAATTTCTCAATTACAGGTTTTCATTTGATATACATACACTCCACTATATATCTGTGATATCTGTGCCATCTCTACAAGATCTATGCAAAACTCAAACGAAACATCTGTCTACTAAAGAACCCTCCCTAGTTACAACCTAATCAACCGAATCGTTCTAGCCAACCAAAATTCCCAATATTGCTCGACAAAGCTTGTACAATGCCTCGCATAATGAACAAAAGCCTAAACCAGTAGGCGGTCACCCACGGCAGATACTGACATCACAGTCCCGAGGTTACGTTCGGAGATGTAATAACTCCTCACCTCCGCGGACAATTAAAATCCAGAGTTGAAACAATGGCTTCGACATTGCCATCGAAGATCCAGCGATCTGCTGTCGTGTTGTCCTCCGCCGTAGTCAGAATCTCGGCACGCAGTGCGGTATCACCAGCCGCGGCCTTGCACCGAGCTCTCTCCGCACCGACGAGAGGACTGGTCACTTCTCCTCAGAACCGTGTCCTCCCCAGCCGCCTGCCGCCAGCATGCAGCACCCAAGCTAAGGCAAGCCGGAACACCAAGAATCTGGGCCAGGTGCAGACGCGGTGCAACAGCGATGAGGCCAGCCCAGTCAAACTCCAGGAATGGGGCTTCGAAGATGTATGTACTCTCCAGTCTGTTGTCATTCCTCCTCCTCTACCATTACTTCCTTATTTGGACCAAACACCACAATGAACCCAGCCATGAAGCTATTGATAATAAGCTGACAAAACCAAATCTAGATCAACGCCGCCCTCCCATCCTCAACCCCCAACTCCCCAACTCACAAGCCCATAATTCTCATCGACGTGCGCGAGCCTGCCGAGCTCAAAGGTACGGGTATTATTCCATCTGCAGTCTGCATCCCGCTAGCATCACAGGGAGACGCATTGTATCTCACCCCGGACGAGTTCGAGACCCGGTTCGGGTTCCCTAAGCCTGATCCTGTGGAGAGCGAGGGCGAGCCTGCGCAGATGGTCTTCTACTGCAAGGCTGGTGTGCGGGCTAAGACGGCAGCGCATATGGCCGTGCAGGCTGGATATGACCCTGCCAATATCGGGGTTTATATGGGTAGTTGGTTGGATTGGGAGAGACATGGCGGGAAGGTTGAGAGGTGGGAGGGGGATGATATTTGAGTTAGGGAAATCTTGATGCTGAAATAGTGCTCATTTGCCGAGTGTTTGATATCCAAAGGTGATTTGGTCGGTTGAGAACAGGATTGTACATATTACATACATAATGCTGAATATGACCTTGAAGAGTAGATCAGCTGGTCTATTCTGATATTGTGAAGCAACCGTTCGATTTGGTCTCTGCTAGAAAAGAAACAGATCTCCCTAGCTCCTAAACTAGTCAATTGCTTCTGCTTGCTTTCTGCGTTGAAGATAAAGATCAACTACATGGTAGTCCAAATGTCTGTTCGCTAATGCAAATACTTGAATAGTATCAGTTCAATCCACTATAACAACAGAAACAAAAGATCTGGTATCGACCAGGCCTTGCTTTTCCTATATCATGTACAAGCGACCTCTCTCGCTGTTCATCCATCAAGTCATGGTCATTCATTGTATGTTCAAATCGTAATCAAAATAGAATAACTTTTCCGTTTTTCGATAGCAATTGTCATAGCTTAGTAAATTTCGATTCGTTTCCTCCAAACTGGCTATGATGGAACCGAAGGCCATGAGGGCCGACGGAGAACAAAGCTCGCCACTTACTGGCATTTGATCGTAAGTTCGCTTGAGGATAGGTACCGCAAGGCTGGAATGAGTCCGGTGCTAACGACTTTTGATATGAAGACACCGCACACCGGAAGGAAGCCCTAAGACTGAATTCAAGGAATGTCGAAGACGGGCTTGAGCCTCTTGACCAGAGCCCATTCCTCCATGGATACCTCGGACCGGTAGAACTCCTTGAGGGTATCGATACTAGCACGCGAGATATGCGAGATAAGCTGATCCTTCTCTTCGAGGTGACGACCATACATGGGCTGGTTCGGACCCTCGACCTTAACAGCAACGGAGGGCTGGCCTCTCTTGCAAACTGGAACAGCCTTGTGATCGCGCTCGATGGATGTGCTGTGAAACGATTGCGTCAGAAATCAGACAAAAGGGGGAAAAAATCCAGGGAACCAAAACTTACACTCTACCAATATCAATAATCTCCCTTACACCAGCGGCATTGGTCCTGACCGCAGCCAAAGGAGTGTGGAGACGCAGGCTTCCTTCAATGACATCAACACCGATGACGATAGGGTCGGTCTTGTTGAAGACAGCAATGGGCTTGATGACACAGGGGAAGATAGCAAGAAGCTTAGCCTCCTCCTTACGCTGCTCTGTGATTTGAGCCATGTGCTCAGTGAAGTTATCGAACAAGTGGTAAATGATGTCGGCGGTGAAGATCTTTACACCGATTTCGTTGGCATAGGCCATCGCATCCTTATCGACCTTGACATCGAAGCACAGCATGACAGCATATTCCTTATTCTTCTCGAGCATGGTACCAGCCATCATGACATCACGCTTGTAAACGGGACCGATGGAGATATTGGCAACAGGAATCTTAGAAACCTTGAGGAACTCCAGGAGAGCCTCAAGGGAGCCTAGGGTAGAGGCCTGGACAGTGACACCACGCTGATCAGTCGAGACACGACTCAGCAGATTCTCCAGATCGGTCATGACCTCCTCCTCAAGATCCTCCTCATCATCATCAGGGCCGACGACAAGCATGCGAGAACCGGCGATAGCGTGCTCCAAGTCGTTGGCAGCAATCTTCACACCAAGGGCGGCCTTGACCTCCTTGTTGTGAACGTACTGGGACTTCAGACGCAGCTCCTTGAGCGGTGCTGGTGTCAGAAGAGCACGAATATTGGTTGTAATAGGTCCGTTGAGACCGCACATTACGATGCGATCACCCTCGCGAAGAATACCGTTGGATAGAATAACGTCAATGGTGGTACCGAGACCCTCAATGACCTTGACTTCCAGAACCGTACACTCGACCTCAGACAAGTACATAAGCGAGTTAGTCATACGCTCTTGACTCAAGCTGGTCAGCAGCTTCAGCATGTCAGGAACACCCTCTCCGGTGTGGGCGGAGGTCGGAACGAGAGATACGTTGCGAGACAGAGACTTGTTCTCGAAGAACAGCTCGGAGTTGAAACCCTGCTCGGCGAAAGCAAGCTTGGTGGCCTCAAGACGAGTGCGGAACTCGTTTTGAACACCCTTGTTCTGCATAGCCAAACTATCTTCGAAGCCATTGTTATCAATCTTCTTCCAGCCATAAAGACGATCGATTTTGTTCAATGCGACGATGAAAGGAGTCTTGCGGTCACGCAGCAAACGCATAGACTCAAGAGTCTGGGGCTCGAGACCGTGCATGATATCAACAACAAGAATAGCAATGTTGCAGAGGGAGGAACCTCTTGATCGCAAGTTGGAGAAGGACTCGTGACCGGGGGTATCGATGATCAACAGACCAGGGACCTTGAACTCGAACTTGCCATCCTTGTTGACAACCTGGGTCTTTGTGCGTAGAGCATCGACGGGGAAGTAAGTGGCACCGATTTGCTGGGTAATACCACCAGCTTCGCCCTCCTGCACGTTGGTCTGTCGGATTTTGTCAAGCAGCTTGGTCTTACCAGTATCGACGTGACCAAGAATACAGCAAATAGGGGATCGAAGATCATCCTTCGAACGAGCCGCCAGAGCCTCCTCGTGCTTGAGCTTTCTTCGCTCCGCAGCCTCGGCCTTTCTTGCCTGAATGGCCCTTTGGTTGGCGGATTGCTCTTCGTCAGATGAATCTTCATCAGATGATTCGTCGGAGTCGGACTCGGACTCGGAGCCGGATTCTTCTTTCTGATCCTTTTGGGAAGGTGCCTCCTGAGCGGGCTTCTCTTCCTCATCAGATTCCGCATCCCAGCTGTCCTTGACATCTTCATCGGCAGCCTGCTCCCAGTCTTCAATGGCGTCCTCTTCCGTAGGAGTGACGGCAGCAGCAGCAGCGGCAGCGGCGGCGGCCTCAGCCTTCGCCTTCTCCTCGGCCGCCTTCTTTCGATCTTCAGCTTCGCGCTGAGCCTGGGCTCGAGCGGCGGCGGCTTCGAGGTCCTCTTCCTGCTTCTTGCCAGCCCTCTTCTTCTTGTTCTCATATACAGGGCGCTGCTTCTTTTCGCCACCCTCCTCTAAGCCAGCAACCTTGGCACCAGCGGCAATCATCTGCTGCATGCGCAATTCATTGCGCTCCTTGGCCTCTCGTTGAGCTTTGGTAAGCAGCTTGCCTTCCTTGCGTAGCTGTTCCTTCTTTTCGCGCTCCTTCTCCTTCTTGCGCTCACGAGCCTCTGCACGCTTCTTCTCTTCCTCTTCATCGAGGAGCTTCTGCTTGGCCGCGGCAGCCTTCTCCTCCGCTGCAATGCGCTCCTCCTCCTCACGTTGCTTCCGAAGAAGCTCCTGTTGTTTCTGAAGGGCTGCTAGGTGAGGAGGGAGCTTCTTCTTCTTGCCAGTCTCTGTGGTAGATGCGGCGGCGGCGGCGGCGGCTTCATCCTTCTTGGCTTCAGCGGCGGCAGTCTTCTTGGCTTCGGCCTTTTCTTGAGCAGGGGTGAGCTTCTTCTTTGTGGCAGCCTATGTAGACGAGAGAAAGACCGATTAGTAAATGAGCTGGACACCCGGCACGTATTTCCAGCATGGCGAAAAATGTAAAAACCTACCTGCTCCTTCTTGCGCTGCTTCTCCTTCTCCTTCTTCTCACGCTCCTTCTCCTTCTTACTCTTTACTCGGAACTCGCCCTCAGGCTCTTCCGCCGCAGGCTTAACCACTTCCTTGATGGGCTTGGTCTTCTTTCCAGCGAAGACATCGTCATCATCGAAGTTACCCTCCTCGGGCTGCTTGCTAGCCAAAGCATCGACACCCTCGGCGTCCTCACCCTCGACAAAGTCATTGGTCTTGCCCTTCTTAGCCTTCTTGGCTTTGTTTTTTCTCAAAGCAGCCATAAGGCCACCGACCGGCGCTGCCTCCTCGTTGGCATCTTCTTGGGGCTGCTCGTCGGCGGGAGCGGCGGCGGGAACGGACTCGCCGAGATCAGCCTCCCAGTCCTCTTCCTGCCTCTTGTTACTCTTCTTCTTGGGCGCCATTGCGATAGATTTCCCTTGGGGATTTTGTTGGTCCGATTGGAGTGTTGTGGGCGCACAAACGGAGTTAACCGGTTACTTGCGACTTGTATTAATACGCACACGTATTAAAGGGGCAGGATGTCAGAAGTCAAAAAAGGACAATCCCCAGAATGAAAGGCGAGAGATAGAGCTCTCTGTAACGTGGGCCTAGGGAGGGGTGTGGGAAGGGAAAAGAATTTCGGGAAGAATCATGGCCGGTGGGGAACAATATGGCATCGGACTTGACTTTCTAATCGCCACAACCACAAACCTATCTGAGTTGCCCCATACTGTCAGGGGCTTTTTTTCCCTAGGATCTCTGATATCGCATATGTGCTAAGCTACCAGGAATCGAACTTCGAACATTAATACTAACATTTTATCTAACTAGGGCATAGATACACTCTCACAACTTGACTCAAACCTCCAGGGCTATGTCCTCCAAGCTTGGTTCTCCACACTTCTTCACCTTGGCCAAATACTCTTCATATCTTAGATCTCAACGTGTAGAATATGACGAAGCCAGCTAAAAACCGCCTGGGTATGGTGTTCATTAACCCCAAGCACGTCCCGAACTGCCTCAAAGAACATGTGCACTGTTTCAGGAGTCAGGTCCTTGAACTGACTCTCGTTGCACGCCAGGAGAACCTCATCCAGGTGCTTCAAGCCGCGACTGACAAGGCGAGCGAGGATATTGCCGTCGATATGCATACTGTTCTCGACCTGGGAGATTGCATCAAGGTAGCGGTGCCTGCGGGACAGGGAGGGACAGATGACCTCATCCCTAAGGCATATGTTGAGCAGAAGTCGAAGAAGGTGCCACTCCTTCGCACCAAGGCACAAGAGCCTGTAGACTGATCCATTGATACCAAAACCATAGAAGGTCTTAGTGGTCGTCAGCACAGCTGGAGACCTGTAGCCTCGAGTGAGCTTGATCAATGAGACGGGGAGATTGGCCGTTGGACGAGGCACAAGGTCACCTGGTTGATCGAGGTCTGTGAATGCCCTAGTAGCTCCACCTCGGGTGCTCACAAGAAGGAGATCCGATTGACATCCATGCCCGGCCAATAAACTGTGCGACAAACCATCGCGTGCCATTGGGTCGAAACCGTGCATTAAGATATCCCCGTTTGAGATCTTGTAGACCAGCAGAGAGTGTCTCGAGGTGGTGACATAGATCATGCCTCCGTGCATTGTCATCTCAACAGCTGGGGATGGAAGAGTAGCTGTGATATTTCGAACCCATTTCGTCATAGAATTTCGTGAGGTGACCGTGAAGAATTTGTTCCCAGCGGCAACAATCAAGCTATCGTCGTATGCCGTCATGGCATAAACTGGGTCCTTAAACCATTGTGTGTGCTTGTCAATGCAAGTGATCTGCCCAGGATCGTTGGCATCTCGAGACGCTTGTATGAGCATCAATCGACCTTGTCGGTCATTGGGTCGATGAGGCAAACTGATCGAAGTCCCAATTGCGATAAGATGGTATGCATTGCCATCCTTGTATGGCATCCAGTCAAAAATGCATGTGACTTTCTCACCAGAAACTCCATGTGGTCTCCAGGGGAGATGGCCTTGGGCAACCAGGTTTTTATCGGTAGAGACCACTGGTGACTGTCTGTCTGGGTCCACAAACTCGATACATGCCGTGCGGGAAATATCGAGAGGACTTTCTTGATTTCCGGTCTGGGTCACAGAATATGAAACAATGAGACTTTGGAGATGATCGGAGTAGGTGAGCTTGCTTGGATTCCCGGGAATGTCGATGCGCCGAGGAACGACCTTTGCTTCTTGATCCAGAGAGCATATCAGAAGTTGACCATCCGCAAAACAAAACATGTATGTAGTTGGAATCCCTGACTCTTGATCTCTTACATCGACAAGGTCGAAGCTGCTGAACCTGGTAGGAAAGTATGCGGGCTGGCATGAATGTTAGACCATAGCTCAAAAGGGAAGGATGTAATATAACTTACGCAGTTTTGATCTGTAACCCAAACGCGAGACAAGAAACAGTCCAAGTCCTTGCCATTCGGGGCACATGACACACGCCAGAAATCATCTCCGCATGTAAACAATGCAAAATTATTGTGGGCTTTGAGGTTGATTGATGTTTGCCCAAGATGGTGTGGCGCTCTTTGTTCCAAACCTGAAGGGAAAGTGCCTGGTTAATGAAAGGGATGCAAGGGACCAGTCTGCTGAACGAAAGACGACTCACGTTTGAAACCGAATACAGGGTCACCCTGATGATCAACGACGTTTGTATCTACATTGAATGGAACAAGTATGCCACTTCGAAGCCCACATAAAAGGAGCGCGTGGCTTCTACCGCCTGAGATAGTATTGATAATAGCGAGGCTTTCAATCGTTTCTGACATGTCTTTTGCAGTCTCGCGTCCGACTGAGATACGAGTGTCGGCATGTTGTCTGATTCCACCAGTCTCGTTATAAACCTCGAATGATAGCACTGTACCATCGCTGGTACCGAGGAAAATGAAGCCAACTTCCCCCCAATTCTGGTGGGAGATACAGATGGGCTCTTTTTGGAGTTGGTATGGAACTTCATGATCAGATAGGGAGGCACGTCCTTCAGTCATGACTATCCGAAGAAAGTGGAGAAAATTTCCCCTTTTACTTCTTGTAGTCATGACAATAGTGGAACTTGGGCCGTCCACAATAGCTGCTGTGACAGATACAAGGGGATCATGTTGAACACAGCTGCTGAGAGAGAAATCAGTAGGGACAAAAAAGTGCAGAGCTCTTTCTGTGACTCGAACAATAACACCGGAAGGTGTAGAGTCCATTGCCAAAGTCTGTTGGATGTCCAAACCTGTATCATCCTCAAGGGCAGTAATGCCATCTCTCATGTCGGGAGTCGTATGAAGGAGCAACGACGAGAGCGGGTCGGAGGCTAGTAGGTATATTGAATCCTTAGCACCGAGTGACACAGCCCACATATCACGTATGCTGGACAATCCACCCAATGCGGCTGAGACTCCAATCTGAGCCTCAATGCCGTATCGAAGTTCGGTGATAGCACCATTGCCTGAAGCAGAGGTTGAGCAGACAAATATCCGATCGTGTTCATATGGAGTGTCTTTGAAGATGCCTGAGGTGTTTGAGGGAATAACAACTGCATCGGGAACTGGTGCCCAGTTGACGAATCGTTGAACACATCTGGGGTGATCCCGTGCCTCCTGGACAAACAAACCGCCATCACCCTGGCTTCCAGCAGCGAGAATGAAGTCACCACCTTCATGGCCCATATCAAGAATATCAAATGCCGTATCAACATCGCAGTGGAGTTGACCCAGAGAAGTCTGGGTTTCGAGCTCACCATCGTTGCCAAACTCGAGATAATAGATCCAGCCTTTTTCTTGACAAAGGAATATTCCATCGTACCTCTGACTGTACATCCAGTTCCGCGAAGGTCTGGCCCAGCGAGTCCACAGTCCAGCTTCGGACGATTCGGCATCTGGAATGATTGGTGGGTATCGCATCGGACGAGACGAGGAATTGGGTGTGTACATTGCCATGGAATTTGTGGTAATCAGGAGGTAGGAGGATTCTTTAGCCAAAGGGATGACCATGCTAGGCAACTGGTCTTCCTGAGGCAGAAAGATTGAGGTGTGTTTGGGAATCATGCGGTTGAGCATACTGGCTTCATCCCATTCGAACACCATAGACCGTGTTGTGCCAAGTTTATAGACGAGAAGAAGTAGAATGGTCCGTTTGTCATTGATGTCTTTTGGGTAAAGAAATTCCATGAACAGGATATCGCCCTCCACTTGTACGAAGCTTTCCTGTTGATTGTTATTATCAGGCAAACGACCAATAAAATATGGCTGGGACATACGCATTCAATTGGGTTCAGCTTTCCCTGGGCCATCTGCATCTGGAGTTCGCCGGGAGATTTTAACCACAAGACCGCGAAGAAATTACGCGACGCACTGACTGCAACCGCGCGCGACCTGGATCATGGTGTAAGCTTTCGTCGATCCAACTGAGTTAGCAATGGGCGATACTTACTTGGGATCAACAGCTATATGCTTGCCATACTTGTCGGCTATGTTGACATCGCGGGGCAAAGGTCGACTGTAGGAAACAAATGGGCCATCTCCAATCTCTGAGTAGTACATGAAAAGGAGCTCATTTGAGTCCGTAGCAAGGAAAAGAATTTGAGGTGGGAGTTGATTTTTGTCGTGAGGGTGAGCCATCAAGCTTGATGGAGGCTGAGTTTCCCAGGGCAACTGAGTGCTTACATTGATGACCTTTGCCCCGATGAGCGAGCCTTCGAGATCTGATTTTTCGACAACATCTTGAAGGTGACCATTGGGCAGGGCTTCCTTGATTTGAATTCGCCGCTCTCCAATGAAAACAACATCGTTGTGGTCTTTATCTCGAAGACGCGCTGGAAGAATCCAGTTGATGACAGGACTTGGGATCAGTGGCTGGGTGAGCAGTCCAGTCAGACACGTCGGACGCGAGACGGGCTGGTTGCCAGACATTGCAGTAATTGAGTGGGTTTCACAAGAAACCGATAACAGATTAGAGCAAATGAGAAGATGATTCTGAAGCCAAAGGCGTATAGCGGGGTCAAGTGATACGAAGAAGCTTGAAGATTGTTGTGAAAGAGAGAGATGAAGGATGGAGATGGAAGATATAAGGCGGAGTCGTAAGTAAACGAGTAAGGAAAGTAGGCAATAGGCAATATCAAGAGCCAGTCTGAGGCACAATAAGCCCCAATATTGTTTGAACTGCACACCGCCCTGTAACTTCCTATATTCAAGAAATATGGTAATTAAATTCGATGCTTGCAAGGTCCACTTGTCTTCATACTTCAAAGAGTGGAATGTCTCAAATGCGATTTATGCATCAACTGCCAAATGCGATACTGGCTGTGAATTGATATCCGATGCACAACTAGAGCCTGAAGAGAGTATAGGCAGTTGACAGTGATTCCACAGTCAAGGGTGTCCCAGACAAGCCCTGCAATATCTTTATTAACCAATGTACCCCACATATGAAGAACAAATGTCAATGTGAGACTTACAGCTTGCCCGAACGCTGTACAGTAGTATCAGCTCTCGAAGACGTGCCTGACACAAGCTCCATTGGTTTCCAAGCTCCAGGAAGCAATTCCTTACTTGCCACAGAGCTAACACTATCACTAGCAGAGCAAGCCAATCCCGGAGTTATGCAATGACCGCCCGTCGGTGAGCTGTCGGAGCCCCAGAAACTGTGAACTCCTAAGGGCGCACAACACGGTACACAAATATATGTGTCCGAGATCTTGCGATGAGTGCTGAAAAGCATAAACCGGAGCGTTGTGCCTAAGCCTAACACAGAGCGAATGTTGTTATCGGGGAAAACATGTCGCGGCTGCCGATGGATGCCTAAGGCCGCTAAGCGGGACTCCGCCGCCTTTGACTTCAGACTTTCCACGTCTAGGTATACGTGCCTAGACATTCATCAGCTCACATTCAAAGGGACCTTAATTGTTAAAGGTAAAGCGCATTCTCACATATTTGGCATTGAGTCGTTGCTTTGGACACGTCGTCTCGTTGTCCGGTGAAAAGGCTCCGGTCGATCTATATCCGATTGAGCTCTCAATGTTATTGAGCCAAATTCAAAACGCACAACTTGAATGTTATTCATTTAGATTGAAAAACAAACCGAGTGATAACTTTCATCTTTTCTGGTGTGTGTGCATATTAGCTGCTTGATCTCCTGAGAAGGACGTCTTAGCGAATAAAGAATGGAAGATACCGGAAAAGAACCGGGTCATCCCAGCTCTGAGGACACATCTGCATCAGAAGAACCCTCAAACAATTTCGAATTGGATACAACAGCAAAACAGATGGCTCGAGCGGAAAAGGCAAAAGCCATCCGCAAAGCATGTGCGGCGCGCGATGTGGAAGCCTTGGCTGTGCACGCAACTTCAGAAGGCGGGTTACTTGAAGATGACTTGAGACAGATAGCCTGTGAGTATATATTCCGGTTTGAAGAAGGTAAAATTACACATAGACTCAACTAACTGGTGAACAGGGCCTATTTTGTTACGTTGCGACGACCAAATACGACAGTTTGATACGGCCCCAAGTACTGAACTTTTACGACATGCCGATGAGGAACAAGTAGAACTCGACGTCAACCGATCATTTGTCTATTACCCAAAAGGTATGCTATTAAAACTCTCCATACAAGACGAGTTTGGATATTAATAGAGTCTAGCTCCCGAGGAGGAGATGTTGAAAAAGAAAGAGCAGCTATCAAAACTGATCACCCAGGTGCTTAGGGAATACCCTATGCTTTGTTATTTCCAAGGATATCATGACATAGTCCAAGTTCTTCTTTTGGTACTAGGCGAGAAGCAGGCCGTGCCAGCAGTAGCACAGATATCCCTTTTCCGCATACGTGACTACATGCTACCATCGCTGTCTCCAGCCGTGAAACATCTTCATCTCATTCCTGCAATAATCGAAACAACGGACCCTGAGCTAAGACGACACCTTGACAATATTGAACCATTCTTCGCTCTCGCAGCTACACTGACACTATACGCCCATGATATTCAAGAGTACAGCAATATCTCACGAGTTTTCGACTTTGTTTTATCTCGTGAACCTGTGGTTGCAATTTACCTCTTCGCAGCAATGATCCTGTCTAGGAAAAAAGAGTTGCTGGCAATACCAGTGTATGAACCCGAGATGCTTCATTTTACGCTTTCTAAGCTGCCATGCCCACTTGATCTTGATGGACACATTCTGCATGCGGCTCGGCTCTTTGATGACCACCCGCCGAAATCCTTGCCGTTTGGAGCCTGGAAACATATTCCCTGGTGTAGCGTGCTCAAGACTTCACGAGACCCACATCGCAAGTGCACCCCAGAAGACGCGATGTACTTTTTTGAAAAGCAATCCCAACAGATTCGGGCCGAAGAACGCAGGAAACGAGCTATGGATTTCTTATGGAGCCACCGTCGCTCCGTGGGTTCTGTGTTACTGGCTATATTGGTTGGAACTGCATCTTTCTATATCCGCAAAAAGGGACTCGACACCTCGATTTGGTCTTATGTTGGCCGAATTCAAAGGGCAATCCGGAACTGGGTTTAATCTCAAGCCAACGTGTCAGATATCGCGGATGCTTGGTGCTATTGCATGTGTATAATAAAGAGAAAAAGTGACAGAAACCAAAAAAAAACCTTATATCTGAGGATCGTAACTTCATAATTTACATGTAGTGAAAGAACTCAGTCAATTCATAGCAAATAATATATATTAGCTACATACTCGTGTATGATCTGGTATCCACAGTTGTGGCTTGAGCGGTGGCTTTATCTGCGGAAGCTGATGTGTACACTTAACAACTCCCCTTCCAACAGCTTACCTCAAAACTAACCACAATGGCGAACCGAGGCTACGATGTCGTAGTAGATGTGGATGCAGAGGTAAGAGCGCTGTGATGAACAACACACCATTCCGTCTAACAAATCAGCAGGGCGACCTTGGCCATACCGACCTGCAAGAAGACCTCGAATTCCACCCCTCCAGTGAGTTCCACCAAGCGAACCGGCCCAGCCCGATTCTCTAACTAAGTAATCCTACTTAGACTTTGAAAACGACCAAAGAACCGCCAAAGTCCAAGGCGACTCCGCCCCGTTCCTGGGTGGCGGGCCATCGCGCCGCCGTGACCGGTCCCCTGGCGGTACGCCGGCCAAATACAGCTGGTGGTCGCTGCATTACTACGAGCAATTCTTCGATGTCGACACGAATGAAGTCTTCCGCCGCTGTGTGGCAACGGTGTATCCGCGCACCAACTTCCTCGATGTGCTAGAGGGTAACGCAGACCTATACGGGCCGATCTGGATCGCGACTACGGTGGTGGTTATCCTGTTTTTGACAGGCACTATCTCGCAATGGCTGTCGAACAATGATGACAAGCACTTCGAGTACGACTTCACGTTGCTATCGGGCGCGGCTGGTCTGGTCTATGGGTACACCGGCATTTTGCCTATTGCCCTGTGGGGTGCGCTGCGTTGGTTCGGCAGCTCGACGGCTGACCTTATTGAGTGCTGGGCTTTATATGGATACTCTAACTTGGTCTGGATTGCCGTTGCACTGGTCAGCTGGAGTCCGTTGACTGCGCTGAACTGGGCGCTTGTTGGCGTTGGCTTTGCTTGGAGTGTCTTCTTCCTTCTGCGGAACTTGTATCCGGTCTTGAATGCTACTGATGCCAAGGCTAGCAAGATCCTCTTGGTCTTGGTTGTTGTGCTACATGCGGCACTGGCTATTGCTATCAAGGTGCTTTTCTTTGCGTAAGTAGTGTCCTTGTCTGACAAACAAATTGACCTTGAGCTAACATATCTACTAGTCACGGGAGCCCGGTTTCAAAGAAGAACAACAACAAGGACAAGAACCCCAATGATGACAAGGACGACACGAAAGGGATGATGTTCCGGGCATAAGCGAGGGAGGATGGATCATTGGCTTTTCATCTGGAATACTGGCCATTCCGTCAATTCTTGCTCAGGTAGCAGTTTTCCTAGTCGTGTTATTGAACGCATGCATGTATTGTACTCTTTATTTATCGCGGACGGAATTTGGAGATGTGAAGCAATTCGACTTTTTGAATTTTACACATTTCATTTCATGGAGTGCAACTTGGTCGTCGAGAGGAGTCAACTAGAAAAAGTATGACGGTGGCTGCATTGATTTTATCATCATATCTAACGCCATTTGTAATCCTCTCCATGTAGCAGTCCAGCCAATCCCCATCTCTGGAACAGCACGCCGAGCACAAGACCAAGGGGCGAGTCGTTTACTTGAGCTTCTTCTTGGGGCGGAGCTGGTTGGTGTGTCCGCACTTCTTCTTGCGGCAGTTGGTGGCACGGGGAGGAAGACGAGCCTGTAATAGGTTCGAGTTAGTACATGGAATTCATGGCCTTGCCACTAAAGGCGATTTCTTCATGACAATCATCTGGCGCAGGCGGAGAAGGCGGGGTAAACGTACGTAGCACTTGCGGCAGATGGCCTTGTCGCAGTTGAACTTGGAGGCAAGGGCCTTGAGGGAAGGCTCAATGATACCACCACGGAGACGCAGGACAAGGTGAAGGGTGGACTCCTATAACAGGTTGATATCGCATGTTAGCGAATGTTCCACCATTTCGCAGACCATAGACCATAACGCAAAGCGATGATTCCTCCTCTTGCGTATCCGTGGACAGAGTTTATCTCTGAAAAAAGAACATGTTGGAAATCTGATCCACCCGAGATACCACAATGCCCCCCGCTCTCGGTCCAAATCACATCACAAGTTGAATTCCGGTTCCTACCTTCTGGATGTTGTAGTCGCTCAGGGTGCGGCCATCCTCGAGCTGCTTGCCGGCGAAGATCAGACGCTGTTGGTCAGGGGGAATGCCCTCCTTGTCCTGGATCTTGGTCTTGACGTTGTCGATGGTGTCGCTCGACTCGACATCGAGGGTAATGGTCTTACCCGTCAGGGTCTTGACGAAACTACATCGCACCGTATTAGCCCATATTCATTTTTCCTCCATGGGTTTGGGTCGTATTGGCGATGGGATCGGGATTGTGGTTCGCGATGACATTTAAGGGTTCAGAAAGACCTACATCTGCACTGAAACGGCGCGGAAAAAGACGATGTTAGCTCACTGAATCCATAGCGATGCATGGATGCTGTTTCACGAGGTTTATGGGACGTACTGGTTGCGAGTTCTCGTTGTTGTCGGCTGTCGGTCGCTGTGTTCCAGGCGGAGCTGTCGATTGTCAATTTGAGGATTTCGCTCGCTTAGCAAAGGTGGACCGATCGGGGTACCCTAAGCCCTAGTTGTTGCCCATTTTCGTCATACGTTATGTAAGCAGCCCGACCAACCAGCCAATGATAACTTGGTAGTGCATCTACGTCAAGTATAGTAGATCACCATAAATGAAGCGTGTTTTCTGTTCTCAATGGTATTTCCTGATCGAATAAACAAATCCTTCGACTACCACCTCAGCTGGAAAGATTAATGCGTCGAGAAAGACAATAATTCACAGAAACCTTAGAAAATCAAGTAATTGAACTAGGTAAAGACAAAAGGTTGTACACAAAGGTGAACGCCAGATACATGATCCCGAAGGCCCAGCGCCGTGTATATGATTACAATAAAATTTCATCACCATCCATATCCTCGGACCCCGCCTCGTACATGTCCTCTTCAAAATCAGCCATGCCATACGTGTGGCCAACATCGCTTTCCCCGGTGTGCATTCCTTGTCTTCCCAAATTAGCGAAGTACTCTCTGTTCTGTCGCTCTTCATCTTGCTGTGAAATCTTGAATTCAACAAATGTGACAGCACGAACAAGTGTTTTCAATTGGACCGCAGCGAGCTGGGCTGCTACCTCATAAAAAGTCCGTGCGGGACCACTGAGATGTGATTCCCATCGATACCGGTGATACCACTCGCCGGGACGCCCGTGATCAGCCTCTTTGTCGTCAGGGATGACCCTTCTGGTTCTAACGGCTTGCATGACTGTTTGTAGCAAAAGTTCGAGCTTCTCTCGAGTCTTATCAGGAGGAGCACCAGTAGCAGGGACAGGGACAGAGGCAGGGGCAGTGGTACAAGCAGAGGATGATTCTGGGACAGCGCTAGAGGTTGGTTGGGTATCTCGTTCTGCCCGGCTGATGGGAAACATCGTGGCAATGCGACTGGGTTCCTTAGAGGTATCGAGCCAACTGCTTTGGTACCAGTCCATGTAATCGTCTAATTGGGCAGACGTCATGTTCAACACATCTTGGTCTGTGATCTGAATGGCAGTCTTTTTTCCAATATTTCCCCCAAATCCCCGATCACGATCGAAGTGGTTCTGGGAGCGTGCCCAGAGGGCCCAGTCCATGACCTGCACAGCGGGCTCTTGATCTGTGCTGGGATACCTTTTCAAATCATCGATTGGGAACAGGAGTTTCGTAGAAATGATAATCAGCACCATCAATTGCAAGTCAGGAAGAAGAAGTGCTGTTTTTCGGCCATCGGATGAACTTGTTGTCGGATACTGAAGTGTGAAGCCTAATAGATCTTGCAAGATCATAGTTGTATCATATATCTCAACTAAAATTCGTTAGCTAATATAAACTGGCAACCACTTGGCGGACTGTCTCTCATACTTGGTAAGGCTAATCTCTTGATGAGCCGGAAAAGAACCAGGGGTAAATTCAAGGGAGGAAGGTCCAATTCAAACCGGCGCTGATAGAACAACACTATTGCCAGGACGCCGCGATGGAACCGCTCGGCATTAGGTATTGACTTTTTCAAGATCAGTCAATCAACCCAGAAAATATCCCAGAGTCAGACTACACTCACATTAACCTCAAGGATCGCAGTCAGTTCTGGCGGAAGCCTATCCCTCATTTCTCGGGGGACAGTTGCCAGGACTCGGACGTAGGGGATCTCTTGCCGCATTATCATGCTGTAGAATGTGAGTATTGCGCGCATTCTAGAAGCAAACTTGCATGGAGGAAAGAATATACATACCCGTGGAAATCACTGACACAGACAGGAAGCCGCATCAAGAACGCTGCGAGATAACACAGTGCAACAGAATCGATCAGACGAGGCCATTCGAGATATCTCGAGTTTGGTTTAAATCCCATATCACGAGGTTCATCTTTTGCGGCTTGCGAGCTGAATACCTCAGATTCAGTATCATTGTCGTCGCCATCAGTAGAATCAGTGATTCTTGCTTCGAAATCTTGCAGACGAAGAGCCCAGAGATCTCGGACAACAAGCTAATAAATAATGAGCTGTTATCCTTGAACACAAGAAGCAACATATGCACATACCTCAAGTTCCTCTGGGAACCCGTGTTCATGAACCAAGGCATGACATTGTTTCCAAAGGATAAGCTGGTAGGTCTGCAAGAAAAGCGTGTATGCCGGACGGCCACGGAGTGCTGTTAGTAAAGTCAGCAGAGAGAACGAGGCTGAAGCTGCTAATTACATACTCTTGCTGACCTTCTCCCTGGTTTCTCTCTTCACGCGATGTGTTTTGCCTAGGTTTCCAAAATCGGCGGCATCTTCTGCGACTTGAACACCCTACACATGTCGCATAGCCATTAGCTGTGTACTTCCTGACATTGGATGCAGTGATAGGATAAAAAAAAAAGCCGATGGACGTCATACCTCCTGCAAATGACCGCGCCGACAATACCAAAGTCCATTGTCTAGATAGTATCGGGTCTCACGACAACCTTCTTGACCGCAGACCCCTCGGGTAACGTAGTCCATCCCCAAGGGATTTGTTCATGCTTGTTTGACAAAGAAGGGTTGGTATATCCAGATGGCGGGACTTTTTTTTCTGCCTCCTAGTGACCGCCGATTTTTGTCGCTCCACATGTCCCGCAATGCGCGCGCTGTGATTGATCCGTGGACTATACCAGACGATTGAATTGCAAGCTTCTAGTCCCTAGGTAGGTACTTTTTTTTCATTATTTGTGGGGTTACACTTGTGTATATTTTGGTTGAGTGTAATTGAGCTCTAAATTCATTCATCTACTTCATAGTCTACTAGAACCCTCGCGCAGTCAAGCAAGATTGAGTATTTATTCATCACACTATCATGAGATGCTGAGACTCAGAACTGTTCGGACAACACATATTATGCCAACCAAAGCAATTCTCGGTCCAGCCCACATCCAAGGTTATGTGGGGACAGATCTTGAAGCAATGGGCATAATCATTCAAAGAATCGTATCCTCCTTTGAACCGTGAAAGATAAAATTTTTGGCGGGCTTTGAGCCCTCGTGGAACATAAAGGCTGGCATAACAGGTAATAAATCCATGTATTAAATTTAACCAGACTTGGGAGCCTCCTTGCACTCCATAGCGGCCTCCTCGCCCATGGCAGTCAGGACGACGACGTCTGATGGCACATATCAGTGATAAGTCCCGAGGAAGTTTGGATATGTTTGGAACTTACTGCACTCCTTCTCCTCGGTAAGGAACATCTGGTTGATCTTCTCACCAACCTCGTTGTCGGGGACCTTGACATCATCCTTGGTGTCACCGCTGTCGGTCATAAGGGACATGAAGCCGTCCTCGGTGATATCGAGCTAATATTCGTCAACCCAACAATTCAACCGTCAAGTCATCAGGGGAACTCACGAGCTGGTACTCCTTGCGAATAACGTGGGGAACGTCCATGTTGTGGGTGGAGGGGGAGAGATCCTCAAGCTTCTTGGCAGTGAAGATATCGGTGGCGATCAAGTGAACCTTGGCGTGACCGTGCTTGCCAGTCTTGGAGGTAGACATGTCAATGATCTTGCAGGGGCGGTTCTTGATAACAACGTGGCCACCCTTGCGCAGAGCAGAACACTGCATGGGGTAGGTGAGCGAGGCTCCGGCATCAGCCGAATCGAAAGTGACATCGTGCTATATTGAATTATGTTAGCAAGCGCTTCAAATGAGACAATAGGGCGGGGTTGAGAGTCCAATATAGCCTCGTGCCCTCGAGAAGAGAATAGAAGGGGAGCCGCATGCGGGGCAGGGACAGAAATCCTCGAGACAGCCATTGGGGGATCTCGAATTTGTAAAAGAAAGTACATACCTCCTCGGCAGACATGGTGAATAGATGTAGAGGGGTTGAAAGAGGGGGGTTTTTCGTAAAATTTGGGGAGGGGAAAAATGAAGAGAAGGGGAGAGAGAAATTCAAACGACTAAAATCTATCGTGGGCGCTGTGGCGGGGTCGCTTACTGGCCGGTGATTGGTCGAGGAGGGTTGTCCACCTTGTTGGGTTTAGTGTATATAGGCGGAGCGTCCGAGTGTCCTGAAACAACCTAACAACTACAACGTTCGACCTTCTTGTTGAGGTTACTTGGTTGATTTCCCCGAGTATACACTTGAATTCTTGCTTTTGTTCTGCATTTCCATGCCGTTCATCCCTTTACACAATGTGGCGCGACCGCATTTCAGCCCAGTCAACTTCCTCCGGAGCCAATAGCCGCAACCTTTCTCCTTTACCGCGACGCTCATCATCCCAGCTATCTCCAAGTCCCTACAATAGTCGCCCTGGTGTAACATCTAGAAGCTCGTCAACATCTCTTCTCCTGACCCCAAACGACTCTACAACCTCTCTTCCAGGAACTGCACGGGCGACCAATGGTTCTCCTTTAAAGCAGACGAGTATTCAACGACCTCGACCGGCCAATGTTCCCGATCCGCTGGAAGTCTTGAATGAAATCATTGGAAAGGAAAAAAACCAGACAGATAAGCATGTGCCGCCGCTATCGTCGGTGCCGGAACGACCAGGGCAATTGGTGGAAGCTATCCGTTTTGACGGGCTAAGTCTCGAAGACTTTCTGAAAAAGGAGGATCCAACACCAATAAAAAGAACGCGCGAGAGTGATGTAAACGCGCAAACTGTCCAGCAATTTGAGCAAGAGCGAGATAAGTTTGAAGAGTTACATACATCTATTACTGGATGTGATGAGGTGTCCAAGTCAGTTGAGCTGTACTTGAATGACTTCCAGAATGAACTGGGTGCCGTATCCGCAGAGATTGAAACTTTGCAATCTCGCTCAACACAATTGAACGCGATGCTAGAGAATAGGCGCAACGTGGAACGGCTGCTGGGACCCGCCGTGGAGGAGATCAGCATTTCCCCCAAGGCGGTGCGGACAATTGTCGAAGGCCCAATTGATGAGAATTGGGTGCGTGCACTGAACGAGATCGATTCTCGAACAACAAATATCGAAGCCAAGGCCGCTGCTTCCTCCAACGGCTACAAAGCCGTCGAGGATGTAAGACCCCTTTTAGCCGATGTGAAGACCAAAGTGAGTATGCTGCCCTCAGATTATGTAGACCTGCATTGACATCTATGTAGGCAGTTCAAAGGATCAGAGATTATCTTGTGTCACAAATTCGTGCTATGCGATCGCCAAACATCAACTCTCAGATTATCCAACAACAGCGACTGGTGAAGTTTAAAGATCTATACAGTTATCTCTCAAAGGTCCACCCAAAGCTGGCAGGAGAGATATCACAGGCGTACATCAACACAATGCGTTGGTATTACACATCTCATTTCACACGTTACCTGCAAGCCCTCGATAAGGTCAAGGTTTATCCTCCTGACCGAAACGAGGTTCTTGGAGGCGACCCATCCACACATCGCTCAGGTAAGAAATATACTGCTCTCATGCTCCCAAATATACTGATTATCTCAGGGAACATGATGCCTGGCGGCCGAGCTGGCTCTGCCGTACACGATCCTTTCTCCTTGGGTAGACGTATTGATGTCCTCCGAACTGGCAATCTCCAGGCTTTATCCTCATATCTGGCCGAAGAGGATAATACCTACCATGGAATCGAAGTGCCGTTTCGAAACTTTAACCTCGCATTGGTGGACAATGTGTGCGCCGAGTATTCTTTCCTGACCGAGTTTTTCTCCCCAAAGACCTTCCATCAAATCTCTCGCAATGCCGTGGAAATATTCCAACCGGTCTTTACCCTTGGCCAGAACCAGACCAAGAAGTTAATCGAGCACACCACGGATTCTCTGGGTGTCCTCATGTGTGTTCGCCTCAACCAACATTCCGCGTTTGAGCTTCAGCGCCGAAAGGTGCCCGTCGCCGACTCGTATGTTAATGGAACCAATATGCAGCTCTGGCCACGCTTCCAAGTGATTATGGATCAGCATGGCGACTCACTCAAACGAGTTGGGTCCAACACTAGTCGCAGTGCTGTCTCGGCCCTTTCGATTGCAGGCGGAGATGACTTGAAGCAGTCTTCGGCGCCCCACTTCTTGACTCAACGATTCGGACAGCTTCTACATGGAATCCTTGTGCTCAGCAGCGATGCTGGTGATGATGAGCCGGTATCTAACAGCCTGGCCCGGTTGACTGCTGAATTCGATTCTCTTTTGGCCAAATTGAGTCGTAATGGTACAGACGCCAAGCGAAGAGAGCGGTTCCTCTTCAACAATTATTCATTGATTTTAACCATCATTAGCGTATGTTGCTAGCCCTATGTTTGGGCAACGTCCGCTAATCGGAAATAGGATACCCAAGGCAAATTAGCAGTTGAGCAGAAGCAGGTAAGCATTTGACTTGTCCACATGTCTATCAGAGACCCTATAACTAACTTGCCTTGCAGCATTTGGAAGAGATGCTCAAGAATAGCACCAGCACCAAGCGGTAGAAAGCGATTTATACACTGGACAGATGCATATTCCATGTGGAAGACAAACAACATAATGCATGTAGATATCCTTTCAAATATCTCAATCAATGTGTTTACCTAGACACCACAGGCCCCCGAAAACCATCGGACTGCGAGAAGATATTCCATCTGACAAGAGAATAAAAAAGAGTCGAACGCGAGAGCAACCTAAATCGATCCGGAACATTCCAGGTGGTGGAAGATCTTCGGCACTTCCCTAGTAGTACACATGCATGAATGTTACCACTAGGCCACCTGCTGTCAAGTCCATAGTATCAGCTTGCTCTTCCTTTTCTCTCATTTCCTAAGTTGTTTTCTTTACTTCCACACTAGAGTGTCTTAGGTATATATAGAAAAACATATCATTTTGTCTCTAGGGCAGTGTTAGGTGCGTGGTCAACACATGTATGATGGTTGGTGGTAGTCTCAGGCTAGGAATACATGTACACGGCCACGGATCGGAGTAGCATCCACTGTCAAGGGTCCTTGCCGCAGCTTGTTTCAAGTCAGTCAATTTCACAAAGCGCAAAGAGCAAACAAGACAGCCAAGACACCCCAGCCAACAGCGAAGTCTAACGATCCGTTGAGGATGTCCCCTACAATTCGTCAAACCACCTCTTCTCAACTTTTCCTCTCTCTTCCCTCCACATAACACATCCTACATTCAATCATGGCCACCTCCGTACCCAAGACCATGCGTGCCCTGCAGCAATCAGAGCCCAAGATTGATGTCCCTGTGCCTGAGATCGGCGAGCAAGTGGTCGCTGATAATTTCCGAGCCATGCGGCATATGCTTCTACTGTCGCTGTGGCGATGAGCTGTTCTGTGAGCACTTCGAGGCTCACGGTGTGACGGTGAACGACTGCGCCTACCCGGGTAAGTAGAATATCTCAACAGCATACCGGCCTCCCAAGGCTGATTTTGGATATTCTTTCAGCTGGAAGAGTCTATAAGATCAAGAACTTTTCTTATATCGACACGACTCTCATCGAGCCTACCTCCTCTGCCGCCCACGGTTTGGACAAGATCACTCCGAAGATGGGCTCTTCCGTGCTGATCTTTGGTGATGGTATTACTGGTCTGGTGTTAGCTAAGATGCTGCGCCAGAATGGTGGTTGCAATGTCGTTGTTGTTTCTGTTGGGGGTCTGAAGATGGATTTGGCTCAGAAGCTTGGTGCTGACAAGTACATTGAGCTGTCGCGCGAGTCCCCAGTCTCAATTTGATGCTCTCAAGGCTGAGAAGCCGTATGGATTCGACATTGTTGTTTAGGCTACTGGTAGCCTGAAGATTCTCGACGACTCGATTAACTATGTTCGTCGTGGTGGTAAGTTGGTGATGTACCGCGTGTACCCGGATGAGGTTCGGGTCTCGTGGCCGCCAGCCAAGATCTGTAAGTTTTGCTGTCGCTTCTCTTGAGTGCTTTGCTGATTCCCTTCCAGTCGGCGATAAAATCACGATCCTCAGCAGTTATTCTGAGACCTACAAGTTCCCTGCTGCTGTTGACAATCTTGACTCTGGCCAGGTAAAACTGGATGGCATTGTGAGCAAGGTGTATAATAGGAGGAGGAGTGCCTTTAGGCGATGCGCAACAAGACTGCTATCAAGGCTGCCATCACCTTCGATTAGATGATTAGACGTGGATGTCATCATACAAAGTACGTTTTCCTAGAGATGGTTAATAGAATTGATCTCTTCCTGAAATATGGGACATCTTGACGTTTTGTGTACTTGAAATTGAGGACCTTGATAGACCAAAGTACTTTTGAGATTAATAATCTGTCAAATCGGATCGGCAATATTATAGACAGGTTTATGCAGTGAATTGAAAAGGAAATGTTGTCTTTTAGACTGTCTAGACTGCTGGTATTGCAGGAGCTCTACTTTGTCTTCTTACATATTGGCGATGTAGGCATTAAGCCTTCTTGACAAGCACACCCTGAATCCTAGGCAACAGACTAAACGGTTCTTCAGGTTCTTGGACCTCGCGTGGATTTTCCCACTCTCCACTGTTGAGAATGTCTGCCAGCACATTCCGCGTCAAATCACATCCGACAAATGTGCCCCAAGCAGGATTCCAGCAAGCTAAGGTTTCTTCATGTTAGCCGGTCTGCGTCATTCCAGAGCCAAACACCTATAGAGTCCAGAAAAGAAGAAAGGCAGATACACACCTTGCGCTACAGTCGTCAAGCGGTTTCTACTCCATCCGTGTTCCCAGAATATAAACTTGCCTCCAGGTTTGAGCAGCTTCCACACCTCCTTCATCACATTCTTTGGATCCTTTACTGCACACAGAACCTGGATGCATAGCACGGCATCCAAACTCCCCTCGGTGATTCCCTCTTCCCTCAGAACATCGCTGTCTTCAATGCCGCAAACTATAACCTTATACCTATCCCGCAGATTATACTTGTCCAATTTGGCATCTATGGCGTCTTTGAAGTGCGGATTAGGTTCAATGCCATAGATATGCTTGACAAGAGCGGTGTCATAACGATGAATCTGATTGCCTGGGCCAGGGCCCAGTTCGAGAATAACGCCACTAGCAGCTTGTACGAGCGAGGGAACAACGGTTGTGTCTTCATAGGCGATGAAATTTCCAGCTGCATATGGTGGTCAATTCACTCTGTGCACGAGTTGAGAGAAGACATGGTTTGGTTACAGGTTATACTGAACAACTTCGCTGAAGCGGCATCTCGAATTTGTTGTGGGCGGCCAAGTGCTGCGAGACCGTCTCGACGAACCGCTTGTGTCAAAGCTTCCCAATGCACTATAATGGATGATTAGTATAGTCGTGGAAATTCGGTGACCAAAGACTTGCGGCAAATCGAGAACCAGATCAGGCCCCATGGACGGAGAATGGAAGCAAGGCGGCCAGGTTTGGGGCACATAGTTATGTACGTGAGATGGTTCTATGAAGGAGATGGTCGAGAGTTCCGTAGATAGGAATGAAATTTGAGAAAAAAGAAGTTGATGATGAAGAGTCGAATGTTATAGTCGCTGCTTTAGTATCAATCCGTACTAGTTCAGCACTAGCCTATATTGAGTAGTCAGGACTCATGTAGCGAATGGGGGCCAAAAGCATTCACCTGCGATATTACGCCGAGAGGGAATTTACATTAGCAAAAAGAAGACTATATATACAAAACCACATCCAAATCCACATAGAAACGAAAGTCAACCATGTGCTCCGTCACCCCAGCCAAGCCCGGCCTCGTCCCCGCCCTCCGCAAACTCTCCAAGCTCAAGCTCCAAGCTCCAACAACCAACAACCATCACCCATTTAATCACAATGGTCAAACCCCTAACATTCAAAGGCGACAAGCCAAAGAAGCGCAAGACACGCACCGCAGACACCGAAGCCCCAACCCCTAAATCGCGCAAAACCGAACCCGAACCAGACGACAACCCAGAAGACCAAAGCTGGGTCTCCGCCGACTCTCCAAGCGACATCGCCGGCCCAGTGGTCCTAGTCCTGCCCTCAGACGACCCAACCTGCGTCGCAAGCGACGCCAACGGGCAAGTTTTTGCCAGCAAGCTCGAGAACCTCATCGAGAGAGACCCGAGCACGGCAGAACCACACGATGTGCGACAGGTCTGGGTTGCGTCGCGGGTGGCGGGGACGGAGTCGTTCAGTTTCAAGGGACACCATGGGAAGTAAGTGAATCGATACTACTGCCTTTTATCGCAATATGTGCATGCGCATACTATAGCCATATTATCCCAATTTCTATTTCAATTCTGTCTTCCTTTTATTTTTCCAATGCAATGCAAAACTAACAACCTCCCTAACTACAGATACCTCTCCTCAGACACACACGGCCTCTTCAGCGCAACCGCCTCGGCAGTCAGCCACTACGAATCCTTCCTAGTAATCCCCTCACCCGAAGTCTCGGGGACATTCTCACTACAAACGCACGGCGGCGACGGCGAGTCTTTCCTCTCGATAAAAGAGAACGCGAAAGCTGCTTCTGGCGTGGAGATCCGCGGCGACGCGAATACGATTTCGTTTGAGACGACGGTGCGCGTGCGCATGCAGGCGAGATTTAAGCCGAAGTTGCGCGCGTCCAAGGAGAGTAAAGCGTACGAGAAGATTAGCAAGAAGGAGCTTGAGGGGATTGTTGGGAGGGTGTTGGATGATGAGGAGGTTAGGAGGTTGAGGAAAGGGAGGAGGGACGGGAATTTTCATGAGATTCTGCTGGATGTTAAGGTTAGTGGGAAACATGATAAGTGGGCTTGAGGTCTTCAGGTGAGTTTTTCTTTTTTTTTTTTTTTTCCTGGTTTGGGAGAGTTGGTGCTGATGGGATGGTAGTAGTGTTTCTGTCCTGAAACAAGGCTGACTTGGTTCTGTTCGCCACGATATATCTTCGAGTTGTGCTAGCTCCGGGCTTGGGTCCTTGATGCCGGGGCTTTAATGTTCTCTCTCGCCTATTGTCGGTCTGGCCTGTCGACATCTAGGTCACTGACAGCCAAGACAATAGAAATGCGTCACGCGAGCTCAGATCAGACTGAGAGAAACCCCAACATATTGGCTGGGCTTGATGATCGATTCAGGCAGACCCGGTAAGGGAATCATGGAGGCGGTGCATGGCACTCTGCAAGCCTTCGAGGGCCACCTAGATGGTGGTTCATTTCTCTATCAACAGAACGACGCATCTATTTTGGAAGTACATCGAGGAAAGCCATAATAATGACACAAATCTCTCTTCTAGGGTTGTATGAACCCATTTTATATTCTATTCTCTCTGGTAATCGCAAGTTTCAAACTTTTCCGATCTGTGGACAACTTGTATGTTAAGAAATTATCAACGGGATACCAAAAGCAAACACGAGAGTATCTCAAATCAAGGATTCAACTTAACTTCAATTAACACAAACAACACACACATCCATTTGTAGATAGAGATAGTTCTGATTATGGAAGACATGATTCGTCACGGAAAAAACAGATCTATGGCGAGAAGAAAGGGCGGACGGTAATGACAGAATGGGGGAATGTGTCCGGCAGAGCAGCAAGCCTTGGGTATGAATTCTAACAACAGTAGTACAGAACAAGACCTCAAAACCTCGATAAAAACGAGGGTACGGGGGGCACAGAAGAAGTATGATAGACCAGCTCACAGTGAACATAACACAGGAAACGAACGGCAAGCGCGTCCAGATTTCAGCGGAAAGCATTCTTTGAGGAAGGGGAGAAAAGATAAAAGACGAGATAAACGAGGTGGCGATATCTGCGTTGAAAAAGAGAAAATAGCAAAGCTGATCAGATCTAGGTTCATAAGGAGTCTCTTTTCACCGCGAGAACAAGCCCCATAATATGGGACAGGACGCAGGTGGGTAGTGGGAGGGCAGGGTCAGACGATTGTACAGAGATAGGCGAGGAGGAGCGGAGATTCAAGAGAAGGAAAGGCAGGAAAAGGGATTTAGGAGTTGAGCGACAGGCCCTGGAACCGGTTGATCCATTCGCCCTGCGCTGGGTGCACACGGGAAGAACCATTGGAGCTACCGATGTTGCCGGGATATTCGAATGAATCTGCGGGACCAAAGCTCGATGGCACATGTGGGGCAAAGGCATCCGAATTAAGCCCTTCTGAGTGGCGGGATGGCTGAGAAAAAGGCTGGTAGGACTCTCCGTAGGATGTGCGAAGCATGCCCACAGGGTTCGGCATATCTCGACCTGTGTCGACAGAATCTCGCGCTCCGCCATAGGACCTACTGTCAAGTTGGTGGCGACGGTCTGCTTCCTGGGCATAGAGAGGATTGGGAATGGTGCCAGGACCTGACAGGCCAGACGTAGGGGGTGTGACAAAGGAGGCCGGGTTGATAGCTGACATCCAGATGCGGGTCTTGTAGATTTTGAACAGATCAGTCACCAGTGAGTTGAAGTTGATGTACGAATCAGCAAAGTAGTAGAACGTAAGTTTTTTCCAATCCCTGCGTAACAATTAGTTCAACCATCACGGATGGCAATCGGAATGGTGTAGACTTACATTTGGAACTCGGCATCGAGGATCTCCATATTAAGCCGGTGCTCAACCACTTTTTGCTGGCAGACCCGCTTGGCTTTAGCTTCATTTCCTTCCTTATCGTGCAAGGTAAGAACCTCATGTTGCTGTGCCAACCGCTTGATAAGCTTTGGTTTGATGTCTGTCGCGGGTTCCTGCACACTGTGAGGACCATGGGGACCCATGCCACCTGTGGCACTTCGAGTGTTCAAGCCCGTGTTGGGGTTGGCGAGGGTGGACCCCTCAGGCTGGCCGTGTCTAGAGAAAATCATGAGGGTCTTGTAATGCTCTTCTGCGTAATGTTGCTTCAACTCCCGTGCCTGTTGGAGTGATATGTTTGCATGAATGACGGTGCCTAGATCTGTTCCTCGGTCCGCTTCCACAATGACTAGATCACCGGTTTTCACCTGAAGACCGGTATCTTCTTGGATGTAAAAAACATCTGCACGGCTGCATTTGAAGGCGACAATGTACAAAAGCTGATTTTGATGAGCATGTGACAACGCGGATGACTGACGCCCATATGCATTCGACATCGCATATTGGTTGAGAGATGACGGGATACCCGAGGAGCCATCTCCACGCAAGGTCTGTTCACGGGAGTAGTATGGTTCTGCAGAAGATATTAGCATTGAATGACAGCAAAAGCAAAAGGGTGTAGAAGTATATAGACTTACGGTTGGGATAGTCACCAAGGTTACTATAGCCGTCATCACGGTCTCCTATAGTTGCGCGAGGAGTAGCAGTCGAATGCGAGTCCACAGAGCCGACTGAGCCATGACGCATCGGAATCTCGGCGAAAGAATGTCGGCGACTTTGTGGCATGTCAGACATGCCACCGAAGCCTAGAGACGTTTGCCAATGAGCCTTGCGGACATTATCTAGAGCACGATTCTCCAGCGGAGAGGTGAAGGACGAGAATTGCGCTTCCGGGGGCGCCAAATGCTCAGAGAAGCGGCGACGAGCATTACCACGCATGTTGTATCCGGTAATATCACGCAATTCACCTAGGTCCTCTGCAGCCAAATCTCCCTCTGGAACGCCGCCTCGGATGCGATGTAGTGGATGACCCCCTCCACTGCTTGATGCAACCGATCCAGCTCGTTCACGGTATCTGTTATCCATTTGACCTGCCGCGGCTGCTTGCCGTAAGAGTGCGTTCTCGCGGGCCAGCTGCTCGATTTGCCGAGCCTGACTCGCTGAGTAGCTCATTTCACTTTCCGAGCCGTTGAAACTCTCGTCACCGTCATCATCATCATCCTCGCGGACTCGACCAAGCATTGCAGTATCATGTCCTAATTCACCGAGCATACTAGGCCGTGATGCTCGAGGCTGAACAGCAGACATTTGGCCAGGAGCACGGGAGCGACTTCCTGGGTATTGTGCACCTGCACCGGCCTTGCCAGCAGCCAGGCTGAGGAACTCTGGATCCATCTGACCAACAGAGTATGACTGAGAGCGATAGGTTTTGAGAGTTGGTTGTAACGGGATGGAGAATGGAATGGCAGAATCGCCAGAGATAGTACGGGTGATAGGGCTCAACATTTCGTCTGGTATGGTGCCGCCCGAAGGAGGTGGGTTGGTCATGGTCGGAGAGGGTATCATTTCTGCCAAGCGAGAAGGCGGTTCCCTGCGTGATTCTGTGTTCCAGATTCCTGTGCTTGTGCCCCAGGGAAGCGTACTTCCTCCGGGTTGGTTCCAATTGAAAGATCCGGCAAGATTTGGGCTCGTAGCTGTCGCCCATGATGCCTGATCAGTAGCAGGGCTTGTAGGGTTAGATGGGGCGGAAGAAAGGTGGCTTCCAGGCAGCGAATGTTTACGCTGAGCGGAAAGAGGCACTTCATTCAACCAAGAGGTGCGACGGACTGGTGGTCTGGTGGTAGGGGGGATAAAGTTCTGAGCTTGCGCTCCATGGTCTCCATCATCGTCAGAGGAAGCCAAGGCGTCCGAGTCTGGGGTGGAACGGCGCACGCCTGGGTGAGTCTTTTCAAGGATGGCAGACGCTGTTGCCGTAGCGGGTGGGGACGATTGAGCCATCGGGGTCGATTTGTTAGATGGCGATGCCATTACGGTTAGAGGAACACTGTTGCATTGTTAGTATATGATTCCCAGTATAATATGTGTGACACATGCGATTATTCCTTGCAGACCGTATCACCATGAGCGCCACTTGAAACCTAGTGAAGCAACGCAACGGCTGTCTGATCAAGGAATAATTCGAGGCCATGGAGGAATGAGAGGTAGTTCACTGACCTGTACGATCTTTGTTAATAGCAAAGCTGTACTGTATAGATGTCTCGTGGTAAAATGAACACATGCGAGAAAGCACCCGTCTTGGTCCACGCGCTCGATGAGATTGGAGTAAAGGTCGATTCCTGCTCTTTAAGCGAACGATGGATGACTGGTCGATGCGCTATGTTCAACTCCGGCTAAATTAAAGTCAGTGATTATTCCCATATTGAAATAGATAGTAAAATGGAAAGAAAAGGATAAGACGAAGGGTAATATAAGCATATGTAGGTATGGCATGACTGAGAGACGCAATATTAAAAGCGGAGATTGTGCATATATGCATATCCTCGGCCCCTCTTGCGAGAGGGTCCGGAAGTGGGGATAGTAAAAAAAAACCTCGATCAAGAGACAGCTATGCGCAACTGAAACGAAAGGACATGGATGTGAAGGAAGTACCATTGCAAGGGGAGTAAAGGAAGAGTGCGAAAGGAAGAGAAGCAGATAGCGCCACGGAGAGGCGCACACCGCATAAGGTATAGCAAAGCAAAGCGACCGAGAATCAGAATCGCACGTACCTCAAGTTGGTGTCAAATACTCGAGAGAATCTTTAGCTGGTTTAGCTGGCGCGTGTAGATCACCATACAGCTCTCAAGCAAAATAGTATCCACTTGGAAACGAGAGTCGAAAGTGAACAGCAGTCGCGTGATCGCAATTGTGTCTGGAGAATCACCCATGTATCAGCCCAGTCGCGTTCAGGACAAGGCTCGGCAGAAATGTTGCGCGACTCACCACTCTGATCGTTTCTCTCGAAATCTCTATTTGCAAGGTGCGCACGGTTATTGTGGGTCTCGTCAAGAATGTTGGGGGAGTGCTGTGTCCGAGTTGCACAGGTTGATTTCGTGAACGGAGGAACGAGGGCGATGGAAGAGGTCGGACAGGTCTGGCGAGCAGTAGGAGTGCTTTTTGCGGGGATGGGATGAGGCGCGTGTCAACGAAGATGCTGAATCCGGATATTCGATGACCGGTCTATTGGAAATAGAATGCGCTGGGTTTGCACGATCGAAGCTGTGACCGCAGATGACGTGGGGGAGGGCGGAATTAGGCTGGGTCCCCTTAAGGATGGCGCATCTTGCGATCGAAGAAGGGTGTTGTGTAGATGATGAAAGTGGGAGAGAGAAGAGAGGGGGAAATAAAAGATGAGGGGAACGCAAAGAGCCTGGGGTAACTTCTCTTACGGATCTGGCAACGTTGCCCCGGAGGACACGGGCCACTATGGTTTGATCTTTGGTTTTAGAATTTTCAGTTTCTTTGGGAGCTTCCCTTTTAGAGATGTTTAAGTCGACTTTTTTGTCAGATGAGACGTGGAAATCATGAAGCAGAACTTATTAGGACCATCCTACACTTCCAGCGATATATGGAATAATAAAGAATTGGAAGATCGTTGGGAAGACGGAGCTCTCCATAGGCTTTGGCTAAGTGGCGTAGACCCCCCCAGAACAGGCGGGTCCCTTGGAGAAATAAGCCGATCATCTGGGGTTGTGGCACTCAGTCAGAAGTACGTATACACATCGAACACAGTATATACATCTCTACGGAGTACCAATAGCCCAGTATCTAGTATCGCCAGGGCTCTCTACCTCACGTCCAAAAGAAAGAAAGCCCTCGCACGGCCCTCGGGTCACACGCTTGCGGGGCAGGTTCTTCCACTTTACCCCGGATTGACGTGCATTTTCTGACACTTCATACCAGCCCCTCCAATATCAAATGAGCTTCTTCTCACCTCGAACATCCTCCTTTTGGCACCTTGACTTCTCTCCCGGAAGCTATCTATAAATCTCTCTCTCTCAATATCAGGAAATGCACCTGGACCGTTGAACAGCTTTGTGCCACACCGTCGTGTGGTACAATAATGACATTGCCAACGTGACTCCTGTACCCCTCAACCCCTCAATGGATGATTCCACCCCTTGTGCAATATAGGGAAAGAAAATCTATCAATACTGTCTATGGGGACTCAAGGATCAATGTCCACTCTGTAAATTATTTAGAGCGAATCATCTTCTGCTCCGGGCCTTCCGACCGGGTTTAATCCCTGGCACAAGATGTTGCAGCATCCAGCCGTTGGCTATGGTCCATTTTAATTGTTTGCTAATGTAGGCGCTGTAAGGTGCATTTGAAAACCGGGTCATGTGTCCTGTTTTCTTCTTTTCTTTTCTTTTCTATCCTTTTTCCTTTTTTTCTCTTGGAGTAATATAGGACCCCGAGTTGGCTAGGAGCAAGGCAATGTTTCCATGGTTATGACACTTCGATCTACATACATTCCTTGATTGCTTCTCACCCCCTAGAGCCAAGACATGCCAAGCTAGGATAGTACTACACGGACTCTGGTCAATTGATACAGTACGTAGGTACTGTGTATGTCTCATTGTACTATGCAATACGGATAATTGTGCATATGTAGGACGTGGTCACACCCAAATAAATATTGTGAAAGACCAATCATTTACACTAGTAATCCGTAACATGCAGAGCAAAGTGGAGGAGTGGTCAAGGTGGATGTGGCCTACTCAGTGGGGAGAGGAGCTTGAAATGAGGACTCGCTAATTGGTTGCAGTCACAGGCAAGGGGGGCCAGTGTACGACGAACCACAGCTCCCAACCTAAACCTCATCCGTCAGGCCAACTATCTAAGCGTGACGGTTGACCTTATGCTAGATGCTGCCTCTGCAGATGTTTACACACCCTCGCGTAGCCCCGTCGCGGTTCTCTAGACAAGCATGCAGTTTTCTATCGAATCAGTTCCATATCCAAAAGTCAATGTCGATGTCCACACTCACCAGTCGGAATACAGCTGGGTCTAACGAATCTTCTACAGATAGAAGACCTGGTATGTCCCAGTATAGGCTGATTGAAGACGTCGAAGACCTAGACAGATACCACCCCGGAGGATATCATCCTCTACAAGTCGGGGATGCGTTAGACAATGCCCGCTATCGAGTGATAGACAAGCTTGGGTATGGAGGATACTCGACCATATGGCTAGCCCAAGACCTGCGAAAAGCTCGATATGTGGCAGTGAAAGTGATCACCGCTGATGCTAGTGGCTACACGCAGGAGGCTAGACTTATATCTTCTCTTGGGAACGCGCCGTCTAGACCTGGAAGAGGAGTTATACCGCCCCTTCTCGACGAATTTTGGGTTGCCGGTCCTAATGGCAGGCATAAGTGTATCGTCACTCCGCCTGCACAGATGAGCCTGTTTGATACTAAAGAGTCTTCAAAATTGGCGCTTTTCCGACCTAAGGTCGCGCGGTCGATTATCGCCCAGCTTATTCATGGAGTCGCATTCCTCCACAGAGGCTATTATTCGTCTCGATGGAAAGCCATTAACGAATGGTATACCAGCCCAAGTGTTTGTTCCCGGTTGGTTTGGCATCCGCTGCGGGGATATTGATATTAGCGATGAGAGGATCTTCCTGAACGATTTCGGTGAATCTTTCAACCCAAATATATCACCCAAATTCTACTCGAAGACCCTTTCTCTCCTCCAGCCACCTGAAGCCAGATTCTCGGATGAGCCGCTCTCCTTTGCGTCGGACATCTAGACACTTGCCTGTATAATCTGGGAGGTTGCTGCCCAGCGCCCGTTGTTTGATGCATTCTTCCCAGCTGCCGACCGCGTGAACGCAGAGCAAGTCGAGGCACTTGGCGTTTTACCCCCGGAGTGGTGGGAAAAGTGGAGTGCAAAACTGGATTGATTCAACGAAGAGGGCGAATTGAATTCAAAGTCAGGGATGTCTGCGCGGAGGGACTTAGGTCAGAGGTTTGAATACTCTATACAAAAGGCACGGGTTGAGGCGGGCTTGGAGACTATGACGGAAAAAGAAAAGAGGGCGTTTAAGGCAATGATTCGGTCGATGCTGATCTATCGGCCAAACAAAAGAGCAACAGCTCAACAGATTGCACTCAGAATGGATGAAAGACTGGGGTCAACCACCGTTGGAACAGAGCTGGAGTACTTCTACATGAGCAGAGGGATTTTATGTGAATGAATATGGATAGAGGCCATAGTTTGCAGTTCCATAGAAGGGTAAATAATCTAATTACGCAAAATTCATATCAAAACTAATGTACAAGGTATAAACTCCCAGATATCGTATTTTACGGCGCGCTGTCCAAAGGCGCAGAAGCCGTAGCAGCAGCACCCTTCTGCTGGCGCAGCTTCTCCTCAAACTTCGAGAACTCATGCATGGAAATAATCTCCTCTTCATCCATAACCTGCTCAACACCCTTGACCTCCTCAATCTAAGAGCAAAGTTAGCAAACAGCCTTTATGTCAAAACAAAATGAACGGGAAGGCGTCGATGGACATACATAGTGCATAAGCATAGACTCAATACCATTCTTGAGCGTAACCGTGCTGGAATCGCAGGTTCGACAAGCACCACGCAGCTTCAGCATTACAATACCACCCTCAAACCCTCTCAATTCGATATCGCCACCGTCTTCTTGGATAGCGGGGCGGATCCGAGTCTCGAGCAATTCCTTGATCATGCTGAGAACCTCGTCATCATCCTCGTTAAAGGCGAGCGAGTCCTCGCCACTCTCTTGCTCGGTACCGATGGCACCCTCGATCGTCGTCACGATCGTCTCGCCAGATGTCACAGCTTGCGTGATGATGCTGAAGACTTCGGGCTTAATATGCGCCCAATTCGCGTCGCTGCCTTTCGTCACTGTGATAAAGTCCGTGCCATAAAAGACGGATGTGACGCCGTCGACATCGAGCAGTTTCGCGGCGAGCGGGGATGGGTGTGGTGGTGCAAGGGTTGATCGTGGTGTCATATACTCGAGGAATGTGCTGGGGAAGTCCTCCGGGAGGACGCGGTGGTTAGGAATGAACTTCAAGGCCTGGAATATCGGAGATGAAAGGTTAGTTCGGTTTCTTTCGTTAAGATGAGATAATTGAGCTTTGGGAGCTTACGTCGGGGTTGGGGGTGTTTTCGGTTTGGATGAAGATGGTGCGCTTGCTGGTTGGCGAGAGGCCGTTCACTCCACCCTGCGAGGCAGGCTGCTGGTGCGGTCGCACTGTCGGTCGGCGACGGGTCTCTGATGCTGTGATGGTCGGGAGTCGGGCTGCGCTGGACACATATCTGTAGCGTGCGAATGCCGGTCTGATTGTTCGGGCGGAGCACTCGACGGGAGTGGCCAGACGGCTGCTTAGCAGAGCGCGGCGGAACATTGTTGTAGATGGAGTGCTTAAAGACATTATGTTATAGAATGTACTGGGCAGAGATAGTTGACAACAGGTGAATAGAAAAAAAAAACACTCGAGGGTCTCCTCGGCTGCCGCTCTGACGCAATTAAATTACACGTGACCTGAGGTCATAGCCGGATGACAAATGAGGAGGGTTTTCTGGCCAATGAGAAGAGATGTTTTGCACAATTACAACTAATGGATGTGCCGACTGTCGGAGGTTCCAAGCTTGACAAACCAGTAGGTCACGGTCAATTGTCATCCTAAATCATATATCAAAACGTAATTTTTGTAACGCATTCTACACTTAGATCAATTGCAAGCTTACTCGCAGACTCTCGGAAGATACCTAAATTTCTTCCCTGTGTCAGCCTCGTAGCAAAGGCTATCTTTTGAAAACGTGGAAATTCCGAAGCCTTATGATGGGAGAACATGAAGTATGAACTTCGCCTCACACCAGCTATACTTTTGAGAAGCTTGGCTACCCAGAATGAAAGTCGTTCGGTAGACCATGTGATTCAGCTTAGTCTCAACAAGGAAACTCGGTAGATCCGAAAAAAAAATATTGAACATCCGAAGGCTTGATATATACAATGATTGAGCTCAATCCCAAAGAGGAACTGGCTATGATGACAAGGCCACGCTGTATCAAGCTTCTTTAGCATTTCACAAACGGAAGGATGAGTCTATCCTTCAGGATAGCTAACAATGTAACACGTTGAGGTGCTCTTGCCACCGAGTTCTCTCCCATAGTTGATGTATAAACTTGTATGTATAGTTCCGTTTCAACCGCGTCACACGGCTGATAGAGCAGATGATGAGTCCAGAATGGATAGCAGCAGTAGCCACCGAGTTCATCATCTCATTTGTTAGAAAATCCCGATTCCGAGAAATGGCGATCAGAGACAAATAGCCGCTTGTCTAGTACAAGTTTCAGTGCTACCTGCATAATACTCGCAGGCTGAATAGCAAACGGATAGAATAGTGGAGCCGTCAACGCTTCACTGATGGGTTGAGTCTAAGGCTGTGATGACTCGAAGAGGGCACCGAAAGAAACGTAACTGGTCAAATTCCCTGCCCTATTAAATGAAGAAGCAACACAGTGTACCAATCACGCATTGCATATCCATGTGGCGAGTTAGATCTCCTCGGAACAAGAAAAAGGTGTCGTTTCTTGATGGAAGACAACATGATCTTGACATGTCATGAATCAACCCATGGAAACATAAGCTGAAAGGCAACTCGCAGGTGGCAACAAACTGCACTCGCGCCGGGGTTGATACCGGATGCACCTAATATGGCCGGTTGATATCCCCGCAAGTGATTGTCATGGCCACGGTACGAATGTCATGCTTTAGCTCCCCGAGTGGTGGATAAAGATAGGATCCCTTGGGTATCCCGGGTGAACGTGGCTCTTGATGTATCGCATGCATTGTGGCTTTGTTCCGTCACACCATAGGGGTAGATTCTGGACGTGACGATCAGACCCCAACCAGGTCCCCGAGGAAAGTTTTGGCATCCCCTTTCCGAATTTGCCATATATTGTGCAGCCTTTCGATCTAAATATATAGCACGTCACGTATTTATGTAGTTCTTGTCACGCGTGCTCACAAATATTGAGTGCCTGAGGCAGAAGCAGATGACCCGCGTTTCTTAGTTTTGTG